TTATTGTTTTGATTTCATATTACACCAGATCTTATAGAGTGCAATACATCGTATATACGAAAAAATAAAAAATTCTTTTTAAATTTAGTTATAGAAACTATACTAAGGCACTATTGTTATTTTTTTCTAATATTTCTATAAAAAATCAATTAATTATTTAATTCTTTAAGTTATTCTAGCTAAGCTTTCCAAGATTTCTAATATGACTGTTAAAATATTTTATAGTTTTCTGTATAAAAGTATACAGAAACATGATAAAGCCTAGCAGATTATTAATTATAATTGTTATCTTAATCATTTGTATATAAATAATAGCAAGTTTAGAAAAATTTTGAATATATTTCTACATGAACAATATATAAGTATTCTGCTTAAGACATTATTAATTTAAAAAAAAAAGTACTTGTTTTCTCTTACAGTATTTTTCTAAAATTTATATACATGTTTTTTATTATAAATCATCATTAAAATTCTTATAATCTACTATAAATTTATCTTTAAAAAATAATCAAAAAAAGCTAAGAAAACTATTTCTTTAACTACAATAAAAATACTAAAAGCACAATTATACTATTTTCTTTTAGATTTTAATACTTCATATAAGCTTAATCTATTTTGTTATTGTGATTTATCTAATTATCTACTAATCTAAAACTAATTGAAATTCTAGCTTATAATCATACTTATTATGAATTCTATTATATTAATAATAATTTTAAATATTTGTATTGTCTTTTATTTTTACAGAATAGAATCAATAAATATGTTTAGTTTTTAAAAAAAAATTTGCTAAACAAGAAGAAAAAATCACAACTAAAAAGTTAGCAAATAAGTTAGTAAATAATATTTTTTGTAATAATAATTGTAAAACTGAACTAATAGAATATAGGCTGTTTGTATTAAAAGAAGCAATTTGGAAATTAGAATGCAATAAAATTAAATTATTTTATTATAAATAAAATTCTATTTACAATATATATTTCTAAAGTTCATATTATTTATTTATATTTATTGTGGCAGCTGATGCTGAAATTGGCTGATGCTGAGATTTTAAATATTTTAATATTAAATTTTAAAAATTTTTGGGGCCTTTTGTTAGGGTTTTTTTTTTAGGGTTAGGTTAGGGTTTAGGGGTAGTTTTATTAATAAAAGAGTATAAATGAATTTTAGTAGGTATTGTAGATTTAAATAGAGGTCCCCAATTTCAGCATCAGCCAATTTCAGCATCAGCTGCCACATTTATTATATAATAATTATCTTGATTATTACAAATTAGTATAAAATTTTAAACTATATACAATCAGTAAATATACTGTATATTGAAATTTATACAAATCATGTGAATAATTTAAAACTGCAATCAATACAATCAAATAAATATTCATATATAGTTTAAAGATAGAGTGAACATAGATTAATTTCTATATATATATATTATCTAAAAAAAATTTATACAAAAATTAAATATATATTACATATAAAAGTTTTTAAAAATACAATTTTTTTTTATGAAATTTTTATATTATATATATTAAACCTGTTTAACTATGATAATATTATTTTAAACTGGTATTATATTCAAAAAAAATATACTTACATATATCATTAATTCTTTCTAGAATAACCAAAATTTGTCTAGATTGCACAATATAAATAATATATATTCATTACCTGATTTCAATTAAATGTTATTGTAAAAATAATTAGTAATATAATCATTAGTAAAATTGATTGACATTCACTCTACACTTAACAAATAAATTGCTAAAAATCTAATATTATGCAACTTAAAAAATTTATTCTTTTATTTTATTTGTAATACTTTATAAAGATTATATCTTTTTTTTTTCTATATTAAAAATAAAAAGATTTCTTGAATTATCTCTTGGGTTGTATAAGTAAAACTTGATATAAAAAGGTTGCCAAGTTCAGTCAAACCTTTCTTATATTGTGATTTTTTTATATCAAGAGCTTATTATAAGTTTTTTAATTAAAACATGCAAAACTTTTCTTATATTATGAATTTCTTATATTAAAGGTTTTTTATATCAAAGGTTTTTATATTAAAAGTTACTTGTATTAAGAGGTTTCAAAATAAACAAATATAGCAAATTTTAAAAGTAAATATGATTTTTTTTCAATAGCATTTTTATAATGTTAAATTATCATTATAAATCAGAAAAAAATATGATTCTCTTAAATTTTAATTTAATTCCTATAAATTAAAATTCAGCAATTTTATTGTTCAATTATCATGCATGGATCTACGCAGGTTGACCAATCACATGAATGTCTTCCCATGACTTGCACGTAGATTCTTTAATGAGTTTGGGTTTATTAGTAATAAATATCACGTTTACCTACTTAAAGCATATCTATCTATTCTCTAAATATAGTAATTCGTTCTTTTGTGTACATTTATTAGTTTGTAAGCTTCTTTATTCGAAGTTTTGTTTCGTTTTCTAGTGATAAAATTATGTATTTTGATTAGTTAATTATCTCGGGCAATCACCGAATGTTTCCCTATGAACATAACGCAGAATTTTCGGGTAGTTACGTAATTGCATGACTTCGCGTGATATGATGATCACTGGGTTCAAGTCTTGTATTACAGCAAGATTTGAATGCGTGATAGGTTATGCTAATTGATCAACATTGGCGTATATTAAACTGATTTTAAATGTTGGGGTTAGATTGAGACGAGATAAAAAAAAATTAGGCTTAATCTATACCAAAATCATGAGTAGAATCTTTTTTATTAGAGCACCAAGAGCAGTTTCATAGGCAAAATTATGAAATAAAAAAATTTCTTAATTTTGTCGATCAACCTGTCACACATTCAAGACATCCAATACTTTATAATTATTGTATGATACACATGGGTTCATATTCCGTGCCGAAGGTGGATTTAAATATGAACCCGTGTATGTAACTGGGTTATTAATATACCCATAATAACTAACTTATTTCACGTAACAATCCTGTGCTAATAAGTAAATGAAAAAAGCACGAGTTGTCACACAAGACCCGTGCAATAAGAGAAATTGCGGCATGCTTTAGGGGAAGCCTATGGGTACCTTTAAATTTGAATTTTTAATGGTATCATGAGAGAGGATCTGAATTTATCAGAATAGCCTTTAATGAATAGAATCGAAACACTATTAATTCTAAACATAAGAATAAAAGTCACAACATAATTAGTTGGTATTAAAAAAAAAGTCCTATTGCAAAATATTTTTTGTATATAAATAACTCTTCATTTTATAATTGAAAAGAGAATTAATTATTTAATAAAGATTTATCTAAAAATATTAGAACCCTTGGGTAATATAATCTTTGATTTTTGAATAAAACTATCTCGCTTTTTTCAAGTAATTTTTGTGGCAGTTTTTTATACCTTATAGTAAATATGCTACAAAAAATGAAAATTTTCAAAATTCCAGAAATTATTTAACTCGACAAATTCTTGGTACTCTATGGATCTTTAGAATAAGGAAAATTGTAGAAATTCATATAATAGTCACAGTAGAATAGAAATATGATTTGTTATTTATTGTACATAATATATACTGTATGTATGATGACTGCTCTCTTAAAATCAGAAATAAATCGCTAGAGTTCAACACTGAAAATCTAAAATGATGAGTTTTGCTCTGCCAATCCCTCTAATAAATATAACTACTAGTCATTAATAGTAAATGTTACGTAATAAAGTGCTCTAATTGTATGCTTCGATCGATTCCTTCCAGTATTAGGATTTAGTATAGTGTCTAGATAGTATTAATTGTTAATTATTTTTTGACCTTTATTCCGATGCGTGTTGGTTCCGAAGGGCATTTTTCACCCTTCACTTTATATTTCAAATTCCATTCTCATCTTTCATATTCTCCTATAGGATTGATAATTTGGATATCCATTAAAAAAAGCTTGAACCGATCTCAATAGATAAGCATCCAATGAGTTCCTCCATTGGTTCCATTGCCAATTCTGCCCCACAAATAACGCTACAGTTTCCGTTTAAACATGATTAAACAAATGACGCGAGTTTTAAATTAATTGATAGAAAATTCTGCTATGTGTCATTATCTTAATATGTACTCTTGTGCAACAGCGACATTATTTGCTTATTTTTTTTTATTTGGCTTTGTACTTGTCTACCTCTTACATTATGTTTATCCATATATGTATATTACTTTTTATTTCATATTTTCGTAAATGATAAAAGGAACTTTTTTTTATTTAGAAAAGCTTATCATAATAAATCGGAGGCAAATGGAATCAGGATCGAATTATGGAATTTTTGTGTATTATGTTATACAAGTAATTCACCGAAATCATTTTTGTATGAATTTTCAGTATATGGAAAATTGATACAAGACGTTTCATGTACTGTACCTACCTCATGGAGAAGATGCCATAATCTTTATAGGTAAATGATCAATTAGTATTATGAAAGGAGGTAGATCAATGAAGGCTGTTAAACTTTTTTTTTTGTTTTTGAATGAAATAATTAATAGCATGTAGAAAATAATTTGACGATCGAGTTGTTTTTTTTTTTTTTTATAATACTTTTGGTACAAAAATCTTATCTTACAATAATTTAATTAATTTAGAGTGTTCTTAGGCAGATCTCCAAACGTAATTTACTAATGATAGAGATGTCACCCAATCATTACAATCAAATGAAATGACCCTTACAACGATCTTAATTTTAACAATTCGGTAAACTCATTGAAGCAATAATTTGAAGTGTTATGCAATTTATTTAATTAAATATTACATGTTAACTTTCCCCAAAGAAAAAAGTATGAATATATGAACATGCTAAAAATACATATTATGCAAAAAAAAAAAAGTGCACTATTATGCAAAAAATACATTATTATACTACTGTGAAAAAGGTAGGTTACGACTGTAAAACATTTTCATTAAAAAAAAAAAAGTCTAATTTCATGTTCTACATGAGTCTAATTACTTCAAACCATTTTCAATCTGGCTCATTATGCCATGGTATTATTATTATTATCAGAATGTGATCCAGACGTTTTGATTGAAGTTAAATTTCCTTTCATTCCTAACACATTTCTAGCTACCCAATGTAGTAAACATTTTGTTGGGGGTATGCCGTAAACTCCCAAATAAACAGTTCTAAGCATAAAATCCACTGAATTTGTGATCGGATGATAAGGTACAAATGGAGGTGTGATAAAAACGATTATGTAAAAAGTTGCATAACCTAAAGTTAAGAAACCTATAGTGATCATATACCAGGATCCTACTGCGGCATTCCGAGAACTAATAGAATATTTTTGTCCAGTTGAATCATTTAAATTTTGGATAGAAGGAATGGTGTCAAAAGAATTTTCAGTGACATTATCATTTTCATCTTTAGGAGAATTTATGTCACCATTAATTTCAACATCAAACCTTGCCTTTAAACCAATGTGATTAAAATGAACGGTTAAAATTGGTGTAAAAGTATAAATAAAAGAACACATTCCACATATCATCCATAATATAGCTTGAAATATTAAAATGACCAAATCCGGTTGATCTTTCATTTGCTTCAAGTTGAGAATAACGGTTACCCAATATATAGCGTTTAAAGCTATTAATGAAAGAATACTAAATATCAACAAAGGCTCCTTCAAACTAGTTTCACGGTAAAATCTAGTTCCAGTAATCAAAAGACATGTCCATATTATAGATGCATAGATGGCAGAAGTAACTTCATAACCGATCCAATAATACATGATCGGGAAATTAGGTAATATGACTCGAGCTAGATTCGCACAGCTTATGACAAAGTTTACAAAATTTGATATAGCGCTAATAATACGCACAAAGAAAAAAAAAAAAAAGGTGAGCTATGAATATTCATGAATAAAATAGACAATCCTAAAAGTAATTAATTACCAAGAAAATCTTAGGAAAGTAAACTTTGCGGCAGCGTAGTATATAAGAATAATGAGGCACAAAAAGTTTAAAAGCACACTTAAGCCCGTAAAACACAAGTCAAATATAGAAGCCATCTTTTCGACTCGATCTTGCCAAATTTATTATGGTGTTAAAGGTAATAAGTCGGTAAATGACGAGGGGTAAAAAGAAAAACTAAAAGAATGAATCATGAGAAGCAAATAATTTGCATCATTTGAGCATCTAGGCTTTAAAAAGGCAGAGCAATGCTTCGTTATCAGAATTATGTACTACCTAATTCCTGTGTGTGACATATATCACAAAACTTTAAACCGTGAAACGATTAATTATCTATCAAGAAGTCGGATTCTTTCGCTAAGATTATTTTAATGCGCTCATCGGATTTTTTATCATGTGTAACGTTATTGGTGCTTATCGTTATGGTAATAAGCAATTGGGCAATTTATAGTGACGACAAACAAAAGATAACGGGTTAGTAAACAAAACAAACCGATATGGAATATCAATTATTCATGATCATGTGTGCTCAGTTGATAAGCAACATGCACATTATCTTGTCATATCTCGTTTATCATATCAAATATATATATTTTATATTTTATTATCAATTGTGCATTATTGTATTTGTTACACAACTGTTTTTTTTTTTTTTAACAAAATTTAATTTAAATTTAAAATACTTGACACTATCGCTGTTAATGTATTATGGTTTTAATTATCCGAAGGTCACATTTTTTATAGCGAAATTGAAACATTAAAAAAAAAAACTTTTTTTTTTTTAGAAAATTATACGCAGTGCAACAGTCTTTATGAATGTCGTCACACTTCAAAAATGCTGAAATCTGCACCATTGAATGAAAATTTTCCTTGAGAGATCAATAATCTTTTACCGAGTTCTTTTCAGTCTTTTCCTAAATTATGGTTAATCTCATAGCAAGAAGACCTCCTGTAGATCCTTCATCAATGAAGGCTACAGATATTAATTTATTTAATTTCACCAGACCTCATATGCGAGCTCTTCATGTTTCATGGATTTGCTTTCATATTGCTTTTACGGGCTGGTTTGCTGTTGCTCCCTTATTTCCTACTATTAAGAATGACTTAAAATTAACTGATGCAGAAATAGGTGATTGTAATATTGCTGTCCTCTCTTCATCAATCATATTTCGTATATTAGCTGGACCGTTATGCGAAAGATTTGGCCCGAGACGTGTCATGGCTGGTTTCCTTATCTTAGGTGCTATACCTACAGCTTGTGTCGGTTTTGTACAAAGTGCTAATTCTCTGATAGCTGCTAGATTCTTTGTTGGTATTCTCGGCGCGACATTTGTATCTTGCCAATTCTGGTCAACACAAATGTTTAGTCCAAACACTGTAGGTGGAGCTAACGCGCTTGCAGCTGGTTGGGGTAACATGGGTGGCGGAATTACTTATTTGCTTATGCCCTTAGTATTTGATATATTCAACAAATTTTTACCTGTCAACACCGCTTGGCGTGTCTCTATGTTAGTCCCAGCTTTTTTATGTATAATTGGTGGTTTAATCGCTTATTTTCTTGGAGATGATTGCCCTGAAGGTGATTGGTCTCGTCGTAATCTTTACCCCAATGATGGTTATGTTCAATTTGAAGATAAAGATTCAAAACAACCAAAAATAAAACAAGATATGGAGATGCAAATTCATCGAATTCCTACCGTAATTCATTACCTTCTCGTCTTTATCAATCCTAACGTTGTTTTAATGATGGTAATGTACGCATGTTGCTTTGGTGTGGAAGTAGCAGTCGATAATGTTATCTCTATTTTTTTAACTTCTAAATTCGAAATGACTCAAACTACTGCTGGTTTATTTGGTTCCATATTTGGGTTATTGAATATTTTTTCTCGGCTCAGTGGAGGTCTGATTTCTGACCTTGTAAATAGAAAAATGGGTGTTCGTGGTCGATTGTTAGTCCAGTTTTTGTGCTTTTTTCTTCAAGCACTTTTTTTGATCCTTTTCAGGTTTATGAGCGAAAGTATTGTATCAGCTATTGTCTTAATGGCATGTTTTTCTTTATTCACTCAGGTAAATATGAAGCCATATTTTATAATTATAATGCTATAAGTCATTTAATAGGGCGCTAATCAGTTTCGTTATTTATAACATTATTAGGCGTGTTGTGGAACGTCATTTGGTATCGTTCCTTATCTTGATCCTGCAGCTACGGGAATAGTTACAGGATTAGTAGGTGCAGGAGGTAATGTTGGGGGTTTAATATTTGCAGCAGTTTTTAAAGCTTATGCTGGTGATCTACAAACTGGATTCATGATAGTAGGATTATCTGTATTAACTGTTTCGTTTATTCCATTTTTAATGAGTATTCATGGGCGAACGTTAGTTTTAGGAACAGTTAAAAGAAATTTCTAATTTAATAATCTGGAATTATTGAAAATTTAGACTTGAATACTTTGCTTTTATTTTTCTTTAAATTATATATATATATTTATTTTTTTTTTTTAATTCACGCGCTAAATTTTCTTTTAATTTGAATTTGGAAGGCTAAAAAACATACATTTATAACATATTGCAATAGCATTAGAACATAATTAACGTTTACATTTCATAAAATAATAGTAAACGTCCCTTTCA